CAGCCTAGCTATATACCTTAACAGTATTGTTAAATAATCTTGCTACAGCAGTCTATGAAATCATTATATAATAACCAAAACTGAAACACCTGATACCATTAACAACTCTCAACATCTAGGAAGTAGTTGTATTTGTAAGAAGATACAAGACAACTAAATATTAAGCTAAGACTCCCTACTACCTATATAGATTGGGTTATTTTTTCAAAACGCTTTACAAGATATACTTCTAATACTTAATAATAATAATTATGATCCCGAACTTGAACAACAATCCTAATATAACACAAATATAGATATCTCTGATGATATTCACTTTCTAAAAACCGGAAAAACGAGGATCTCTGCATACACGTGATAAACAGAAATGATACTACAATATCTGGTTTACCAAATTTGTGTAGTAATTGTCATTTGTTCCTCGTGGCAGACAAATGAAATTTAAATATAAGGTGATCATACATCATTTCCGACTCCTTGTGGTGCCATTTATGTAAATGCATATTCTACTCACCAATAAATTCACAAATGATCCCCTTTGGCCGGAAATCACAGTAATCGTCGTCCCATAATATTCCTTTGTTGCGCCTACACCTGAAATTAGATTCTTAAATTTCTAATTGGTCACTCTATATATTCACCCGTGCATTATGTCTCTGGTAGGTGCACATGGTGCGATGTGTTACTAAGACTCACACTGTACATTCACACGTTTATTGTATCACATATAGTTACACACGGTATGGTATACACGTGGTACTAATACATTATAGGACGTCCACATGTAGTAAGTCGTGATGATCAGAAATTTCCTCATTGAAGTACGAGATACCCTTTATTTTACGTTCTTGGTCATATTTCATCTCCAAATCTGTGAATACCGACTATTGAATTGTTTCTTACTCGTTACCGCACAAAGAGAAGTATTTAATAAATATTCTTTTTACTGTGATTTTACTGAAGAATATCCGTTTCCGAAATTTTTCAATAAATACTAAGTAATATGATTACCATTTAAACCATTAATTTTCCATGTTTATTATTTCTAGCAGCTATTAAAATAGTAAATTTGTGCAAGATAAAAATCATAACTTACCATAACTGAGTACAGTCCTGGCCACTCGTAGCATTTTTCTTTTCATTGTTGTTAGGGTTTCCAATCGCCCAGTTGAAGTAACAAGGTGTGGTTCCATCTCCCCACTTGTAGTTTCCTTCTTCTTCGCCATCCCCATCATGTAATCCGATCCAAAAGCCATTATTCGGAACACAGTTCCTGGAATCCATTTTATTGGCATAGATAAAATCTCGAATTTCCGCGTCCTCTTCGGGATTCTTTATATTGGCGAGAGTGCCGCCTCGACTCTCGCAAAATTCCTGCGCTTTTTGGCGATATGGGTGGACAGTTTCATCTTGTTGACAGTAAATCTCGTAACGTTTCTCGAGGGTTGTGCATGTCGACACACTTGCTGAAAAATGAATTCACAATCGGTTACAATGCAAACTAAGACTTATTAACATCTGGCTTACGTGACGCTAGGCTACACAACCATTAATGAATACCCCTATTTTATTAACATACACATAATGCCCGATAAAATATCTTTATAGTACAGCTCACAAATCTGTGGCATTTGCCACTGACATAACACCAACCTGTAATAGCAGGATTCACGTTTTAAAAAAGGTCTTATTAAATATTTGTGATGAGTCATTTGTATTTCGATGTGTTCGAAATTGAAGAAAACATACAGGCAAGTATATGTTATCAGTCTAGCAAAATAACGCAATGTTAAATAATGATCAGTCTGGAATTGCGACCATGCTCCGATTACGTGTTACCGATGTTTTTTTCAAACTCTTAAATAAAAACTTTGTATGAACAAATCAAAAAATGTTATTATTGGATGTCAGTATTTCTAATTATCAAAAACAGCATTCAGTAATCCTTAATGTTGATTTGACCAATTCAACATAGAAATACAAGGTGAACGCTAAGGGTAACGGATTATAGTTATACTTACGAATATATCCTAGAAACTCTTCCTATGTACACAATGAGACAAAGAAACATGTTAGATTCAATTTATTGGGAATTGGGACTTTTGTACAATTGCAATATTTCTAATTTGACAAATTGAGTATATAGCTTTTGCAATAAGTATTACTACCGGTAACACCTGAGCGGAGCGAAACAACCACTCGGCGCAGTCAACAAAGATGCTTACAGTGAGTGTAAAGTAATCCCCGGTAAGCACCGCGTGATGTTTACAGTTTTGCTACAATGTTTGCCTTTGGTCCGGTAGAATATTTTTTAGAGTGGACGCGATCCAGACGTCACGGGCGAGTCCATTTTCAAGTAAAGGGACTGTTAAATTTAGTGCAGCCTCAGTTAACAAATCGCAGACGTAGTCAAATTTACACACATTGCACTAAAATAGGAATTAATTATATTAGGAATTAGCATTATATACATAAACAGTTATAGCATAACATAGTTTACGCTTCATTACCATGCCACAGAATGTGTGTGATGGGGTTGCGTGTGCCCCTCCTGTGAATTACAATGATCAACCGAATCAGATTTCAGGTCGAGGCGTTCAGAACATACGTTCAATTCTGACCATGTCTTATCAAGTCCAAGTAAATTATTGGAATAAATCAAGACATATTTATCAGGGAAACGTTCAGCTATGGTGAGTTCATCGAATATATCAAGGAGCAAGTTCCTTCGTTACAGTATTTAGAGTTTCAGATCCAGTACCAAAATGACGAAGGGACCACGATGACACTCTCCAATCATGAATTGGACATGGCAGAATTGTTTCGCTGTGCGAAGACAGTTGCCGGCGCTGAATACAGGCGGATAAAGGTGTCTGTCGTTGAGCAAACTAGCGTGCCGAAAAGGTTGAGGTTTGAATGTGATGACAAATTAGATGATACAGAGAAAAACAAAGATCAGGAATCAAGTGACCATGATGAACGCGAACACTTTGTTTACCGATCACCGCTCGAGTTAGCAATCAAAATGCAAGAAACATAATTGAATGATATGAAAGTAGTACTGACAACAGTTCAAATCCAGATCTGTGACCAAAATGTCAAATATGCAAAAAGTGTACCCGAAGATTCAACGAAAAAACGCTGTGGAAAATGTCATCTTCGTGACTCTCACACTCGGCGAAATTGTCCATACGAAATCTGTTGTTCAGCAGAAATGTGTGGGGACATCAACCACCCCGACCATGTCACGGAGAAAACTACATTGATTAGCCTCGGTAAACAGCGTGACGATCTAATTTATATAAAGAAGAAAGAAAGAGCTTGAACTCCAGCAGAAGATAGACACGAAGAAAAAGGTTTTGTCTACATACGAGCGGCAAATCGAAAGTTGGTTGATCAATATTAACCCGTCCAAGTACTTGGTTGCAGCTGTAACCGGCGATACGCCGAAGCAGTGGTTAATAAACAAACATGCCAGAATTTTGAACGAGCATTATCATGGCAAAGTACCAAAACAAATAAAACAGGAATATCGTCGATTCCCTGGTATCATTTCTGAATATGAACTCGTTCACTTACAAAAGGGTAAAGCCGTGAAACCAAAAGACAGAGTTCGCGAACGTTTGGAAAATAATCCAGTATACAAAATAAAGTTCCCTGAAAAAACACCTAGTCAACTTTTGCCTGGAGCTCCCGACCATGATTTACTGAGAACTAAAAAGGATCAGAATTAAATTAGCAGTACTCATTCTGAACGTTATCCTCAAACCAGCTACGAGGAAGAAAAACAAATTCAACAAGCTCTGTATCCTTATATGCCTGGTACGAATGTACGGCTATTATCCATGTGCT